TTTTTTTGTGGGGCAGAGTCTCTGTTGCCCAGGCTGGAGTGCAGTGGCGTGATCTCGGCTCCCTGTAACCTCTGCCTTCCAGGTTCAAGCAATTCTCAAGCCTCAGCCTCCCGAGTAATTGGGTTTATAGGCATGCACCACTACGCCCACCTAATTTTTGTATTTTTAGTAGAGACAGGGTTTTACCATGTTGCCCAGGCTGGTCTCAAACTCCTGAGTTCAAGTGATCCAGCTGCCTTAGCCTCCCAAAGTGCTGGGATTACAGGCATGAGCCACCATGCCTGGCCGACTTGAGGAGTTTTTTCAAAGTGAAGAAAAACCTAACCCATAAGTTATGTGAGTTTAATAACATTTTAATGAATATTAAATTTAACGGCTATGAGTTTGATAGATTGCTTCTTAAGCATTTAAGCATTTCAGTTTTTCAGAGTTCTGAATTGGTTTTTCTTCTGAAGCCAGTCCTTTTTTTCCTGTGGGTTAAGTGTGTGCCCTGTGCACACATTATTTCCTTTCATTGGTGTGTCAGCCCAAGAAGGAGATAGTGTTCACAGTCCAACAGGATCAGGGTAACTTGCCCCGCAGGTAGAGTCAACAGAGAGACTCTAGTTCTGGCGGGTGTCACTCTCTCCAGAAAGGAGGCTGTCTCAAGCTCCTGGGCTGCAATCTTCATTGCCCCATGACAAGAGGTACTAATAACAGCTTTTCTCCTTCTATAGGAAGAGAGTTTTCTTTGTTTACTGGTAAGAGAGCCTTCTTCCAGAAGCCAGCCGAGAGCAGGAAATTCTACCGCCCTCAGGTAAGTAGGGAGGCACAGACCGGGATCCCTTGGGCCCCAGGCCCCATAAGCTTCAGAAACCCTGGGTTCTTCTGGAGCATCAGTGGCCTCCTGTTGTGTATCTCTGTACCCCTTGCCCAGGTCTACCCCATCTTCTAAGTAAGAAGCCCTGGCAGGCCTCCAGGCCTCAGTGCAGCAATTGAGAAGAGAGAGGGAAGGAACCAGATTTTCAGTGTAGGCTGCAGTGCGAGATGCTTTTACTTTTTTTTTTTTTTTCTCTACTAATTCTCATGGCAAACCTGAAACCTAGCAGTCATCCCTGACACCTACTTTCTCCTCTGCCCTATTGATGTTCCTAGATGTACCTCCCAGAACCACTGGCGTCCTGCTCTTCCACTTCCACCTCCCTAGTTTGAGCTCCCATCACTTCTGCAGTGGCACCTAACTGCTCTCCCTCAGCTTCTCAGACACCTGTAGGGCCATCTTTTCAAAGTGCAAAGCTAAGTACATCATCCCATCACCACCTGACCCTATCCTATCCCTGCACCCTAAAAACCCTACTTCCAGGCTGGACACAGTGACTCATGCCTGTAATCCCAGCACTTTGGGAGGCTGATCACTCGAGGCCAGGAGTTCAAGACCAGCCTGGTCCACATGCTGAAACCCTGTCTCTACTAAAAATACAAAAATTAGGCAGGTTTGGTGTAATGCACCTGTAGTCCCAGCTACTCAGGAGGCTGAGGCATCAGAATCGCTTGAACCTGGGAGGCAGAGGTTGCAGTGAGCTGTGATCACACCACTGCACTCCATCCTGGGTGACAGGGTGAGACTTGTCTCAAAAAAAAAAAAATCCTACTTCCAGCCAATAAAACAACACCCTCCACACCCCAGAAGCCTTCCTCTAGCCTTTGGGGTAGACTGATCTGGCTCAAGCCCTTCTCCACCTCCCTGGACTCTCACGGGTCCTGCCACAGAGGATTTATTTCAGTTCCTTGTATACCATACTCCTTTCCTATATGTGGCCTCTGTACCTCTTGTTCTTCTTGTCCCAGGTAAGCTCCCATCACCACTGCCATTGTCATTGTTAGCATCTCCTCCCAACTTCCAAGTCCAGAGACATTGGTAGCATGCAGTTAACCAAATGCCACAAATAAAGGCCTATTTTTTTTTTCCAAAGAGCTGGAAAAAAATTAAAATCCAGGACATGGTTTAGCAAACTGTGAATCAGACCTTCCACTGCCTGTTTTGTTTTGTTTTGTTTGAGTCAGAGTCTCTCTCTGTCACCCAGGCTGGAATGCAATGGCACGATCTTGGATCACTGCAACCTCTGCCCCTGGGTTCAAGTGATTCTCCTGCCTCAGCCTCCTAAGTAGCTGGGACTACAGGCGCACACCACTGCACCCAGCTATTTTTTTGTATTTTTAGTAGAGATGGGGTTTCACCATGCTAGCCATGCTGTCTCAATCTCCTGATCTTGTGATCAGCCCGCCCCAGCCTCCCAAATTGCTGGGATTACAGGCTTGAGCCACCGCGCCCAGCCTCACTGCCTGTTTTTGAAAATAAAGCTTTATTGGCACACAGCCATGGCCATTCATTTACTATTGTCTACAACTACCTTTGCACTGAAACAGCAAAGTTGAGTACTTGCAACAGAGACTTTGTGACCTGCAAAGCCAAATATTTATCATCTGGCTCTTTGCAGAAAAAAATCTGCCAACCCCTGGTCTACAAGATACATAGTCATCCTTCCATCTCAGTTCAGGTTCTTGTAGGGAGAGAAAAAAACCTTTTATTTACCCTCTTAGGCAAAGTAGATGGAGCCCTACAAGTTAAACTGACAAAAGATAGATAGTTTAACAGGAGAAAGGCATTCAAATTTTATTTGATGTTAATATTTTTACATGACACAGGGCTTCATAGGAAAATAGTGAAAACCTCAAAGAAGTGGCTAGGGCTGATAGTTCACATACCACCCTAACAAAGAGCAATTAATTATGGAGATGTGACAAGACAAAGAAAAAGAGGTTTGGGTTTCTAGCGATGGTAAATTGGGGGAAAGTAAATATATGGGGGAAACTAATCTAATGGAAGATAAGGATTATTTCAGTAAGATTTGTATATGCAGATTCAGGAGGTGCCATCTCCAGTGATAAGTTGTCTCTTCTTCCTGGTATGGGAGATGGGAGTGGGGGACAGCTTCACAAGGGAAATTTCTGCTTTGCTTTTAGATGGAAAGTGGGATGTAAAGAGCTCTTTCTGCATCTGCTGTTTCTCAGTTGCCTTCAGCTCAAAATAATTCTTATGTCAGAGTGGCCTATTTTGGGATGGCAGATTCTGACCCCCTTCACTGTCATCCTCAGGGTCAGCTTTCTGCCTCTCTGGGCTGGATGAGGTTTCTTGTTATATGGGCCAATGTCCCTTTCCTTCAGAGCCCTTATGTAATTATTTGGTCATTACCCTGATCATGGCTGTTTCCCTCACTGATCTTTTTTTTTTTAATTGCTTTATTCTTTTAGAGACAGGGTCTCACTCTGTAACCCAAGCTATAGTGCAGTGGTGTGATCATAGCTCACTGCAGCCTCAACCTCCTGGATTCAAGTGATCCTACTGCCTCAACCTCCTGAGTAGCTGGAACTACAGGTACATGTTACCATGCCCAGCTAATTAAAAAATAATTTTTTTAGTAGAGATGGGGTCTTGCTATGTTGCCCAGGCTGGTCTTGAACTCCTGGCTCATGCAGTCCTCCCACCTCAGCCTGCTGAAGCACTTCAATTATAGGTGTGAGCCACTAGGCCCAGCCTCCCAGGTAATCTTTAAACCCTAGGCAACATTCTCACTTCTAGTACATTGTTATATGGGCCAGTGTCCCTTTATGAATGCCTCATTTCTAATGACATGCTTCCTTAAAAAATGGTACCTGAGGCTTGATTCATTAAGACAGCCCCCTCCTCTGTTTGGTCCAGGGTTGGTAGTGTTTCCACTCTGGAACATTCTCCATGGGGAGGTTTGGGATGGGTAAAGGGTGTACCTTTCTTTTGTAAAGTGGTAAAAGGCTGTTGTGAATGCCTGCACATACTCAGGACAATTCCTTCCAGGAAGCATTTTGAAAGACAAGCTAAGGATCTAGAAATTGATGTTCTCAGAACTGTCAGTCCCATTAGTCCTTGGAAAGTTTTCATGTCCCCACAGGGTTTGAAGATCTCTGGTTAAAAATCTGTTCTTGGCAGGGCACGGTGGCTCACACTTGTAATCTCAGCACTTTGGGAGGCCGAGGCAGGCAGATCACTTGAGGTCAGGAGTTCAAGACCAGTCTGGCCAACATAGTGAAACACCCATCTCTACTAAAAATACAAAAATTAGTTGGGCATGGTCACAGGCGCCTGTAATCCCAGCTACTTAGGAGGCTGAGGCAGGAGAATTGCTTGAACCTGGGGGGTGGAGGTTGCAGTGAGCTGAGAT